TATATATATATATATATATATATATATATATATATATATATATATATATATATATATATACGTAAAATACGCCGAAATATATATACCAACGAAAACACATAAATAATACAAAAATATTAATATATTAGTTTTAGAATAATTCATTTCCGAGCGTTCCTTTTTTTCTTTTTTATAGTGACCATCGTTAACGTGATTATAATTTATATTAGCCAATTATTTCTATTACTATAATTTCTTCTCTCTTTCTTATTCAAGAAACAATGAAAGGTGCTACAATTTATATTTTACAATTTAATGACAAAAGATTCTCCTAAGAGATGCTTTCAAAGCAGATTATGTGTCGCGTGATTTTCTCAACTCAATGCTTCTCTTTGATCTTATGTTTCTTTTTTTTAATTTTAATAATTGTAAAAGCACTTGATACTGTACTGTTTTAGTTATGCGAATATTGTAATATCTAGTCCAGGTATATCTGACGTGATTCTAATAGAATATCCTAGATATTTCAGCTACGAGATTCTTCCATGAATTTCGCATTATTGGATTCTGCTTTCAGTAAAGATATCCGATAGAAAATATAGTCGAAAATTTAACTGCAGAGAATGAAACAGCCAGGCGAATATAGAGATCTTAAGTGGGCTGAGCGGTTAATTTGGATAAAAGTGGAAAAGTTGTACGGACAATCCAAAGCGAAATCAATTTAAATGCGTCTAAAATTTCCTTACTTTAGCCTATTACCCTTTTGTAAGTATCACATTCATGTGGAAGAATTTAAGGTTGCTAACAATTTTTTTCCGATATAATATACATGTAGGTTGAGGGAATATCTACAATAGACGATGCCTTCGTCTCCTTAAAATTATAGTCGAATTTACGCAAAATGTAAATCGAACTATAGCGGTACGGTGCGACTGCGAGGAACTTTACGCAAGAAGAATAACTTAAAATAACAAAATATTATTTCTCTTAGCTGTCTACAAAACTTGTTCTGCTTCATTCAAATCTAACGCGATGGATATGCTTCGCTTCTTCTTTTTTTTTCTATCACAATTCTCTATGCTTGTCGATCGCGGGTACTTCGACCAGTGAACTCGAATTGCGAGCGACATAATGACGTAAGGACTTTCCTAAAAAATTTACGTTATTCTAAAGCGTATCAATTTGCAAAATGTTTCCAGGAAATTTTCAGATATGCCATATACTTTCTTCATGAACGAATGAGTGTTAAATGGCACATTTCACATGTACAGTGTGTTCTAAGGGTCGCTTCTAAAGTTAGCGCGGATGTCTCTCGTAATCTTTGCAAAAGATGCCAAAAATCTTACAAGAAATGATTGGCAATGACAATGAACATATTTTATACTTTTCTGCTAAAAACCTGCCGAGATTAATTTATCAAGACTTAGGCTTGCTAAGAAAAGATAAAATCTGCCATTGAATAAACTTTCTATAATAGTGATGTGAAACAATCCTAGTTATTAACGAACTTAACATTTTTCTTCGACGAAAAATGTTAACGTCAGTATGGAAATCCAGTCTTGACTAATAAAATTAGACAATTAGAAAGAAAAAAAGGACAAATGTCTGTGACAGAGTATACTTTCCTCGTATAATATAATCGTATAATATAATTGCGAGAAAACGACTTTTAGAACACTTTTACATACACTTTCGACAATCATCACCGATTACTCATATGATTGTTAAACGGAAATTGAAACCGATGCAACCTTATCGAGTTCGGTTTTCCGTGCTAATAGATGCGAAAACAAATATGCCATATAATAGATATGACACATACCTATAATTGCGTAAAATATCTATTATTTATACAGCACGAAAATCTGAACTCGCTGAACTTGTACCGATTACAATCAGCGGCGTATCACGCAACATTGTACGCTAAGCGTAATAAATGGTGTCTGTTAATTTTGATTACATTAATTTTATACGAACGTATAAAATATCTTCGTTTCAATGGGACTTTTGATTGCACAGTTCTCTCGTAACTCACTGTCGCACGAGACTGAGTTGCGAAGTATTCGCACTATTATGTTTTTTCAATATTGTCGTCTGATTGCATACGCTTCAGAGTTGAGAAGTTAAGCGTCCGTTTGCGCGCGCATTATTGACGTCGCGGCGAGTACGACAAAATCAAAAAAAGATAATCATCGCGGATAAATTGAAATAGTATCTCGTGTTCGCGGCAGTGAATACAAAGATAATGCGACATTAAAATCATCGATTTCCCTCGCACGTTTTTCTCTCTCGCACGATGGTCAAAGAAAGTGCAATCTCAAAATGTTGCGATCAACTTTGAGCTTGCCTCTTCGATGGCAAACTGAAGCTATCTGTCATGAATTCTATCGTAATTATAGAAGTAATTCTTTTTTCAACTAATTAATATTATTTTATTAAGCTAACACAGCCCTCCCGGTTGGCAGTAGTGTATCGATAATAAATGACAAGAAACAAACGACAAAATACATTCGAACCTAGACATAAAGCCCAAGTTCAAAATAAAAAAATTTATTTTGCGCGATATATTTGCAACTGATACAAGATTACTCTTTCTTTTTTTTAGATAACCATCATCGCACTCTATCTTCGCGAAAGAGAAGGAGAATCGATGAGTCCAATGTCGCGAGATCGTCGATGAATGAAAGAGTAAAGAACGAGAAAAAGGAACTAAGGCAAAAAACGATATCAACTACTTTGTACGATTGCGGATCGTTTGAAAGAGCACCACGGCTTCGGTCTACGTAGACAGTCCAGACGGGAGATCGCAGCGCATCCCATCGTCGCATACGCGACGGTCGCGACGACGAGGATGCTGCCGAACAACGACACCTATAAGTTTATCGCGGTGAGACTACTCGAGGATAGACAGTCACCGTATATTACACCGACGATTACGCTACTGATACTAATCAGAATATTGTATACACTTAGCGGAGGAGCGAAGGACGACCAAACGACGACGGCGAGCTTGTCTCGAGCCCATTGTCATCTGGGAGTAGATTCTGCCTGTCTGACTCTGTCAAAGTGGCGTCGGTAGTGGGCGCGACCGCGACCACGGTGGCGGTTGCCGTGATTATGGTTGTTGTGCCCGTGATTATTGTGATGAACTTGACGAGACTGATATTGCGTATGGTGATTCTGCGCCTGGTGCGAGGTCTGCTTGGAGTGCTACGACAACAGAAGTCGAAGACGTTGATTGACTTCAATGATTCCAATATTGAGACCGAGCGGACCAAGCGTTGAAAAATGAAAGGATGAAAGAATGTGCAATTGCTACTGCTTGCCGTGAAGCGCTGACTTACCACCTGAGTAACTGGCTGCACGGTGGTGTTGGAATACGCATTCAAGCTTGTGCCAGGCGGACTGACTTCGACTGTAGCGGCAGAAGGATCGTCTTCCGTTCTCAACAACATCTTCACGCCCTCGGCCTCCAAATCGATTATACCGCCTCGCTGTTGCTGACGCAAATACAGAGCAGCCATTTGTTTCTGCAGTTCTCTTAGCTCGGCGGTAACGGAGAAGTCGGTGGCGGCTTCGACGTCGATCGGCGGTGGTGCTGACCATAAACTTTCGACGTCACAATTGATCGACTCCCGGCAAACGGGACATATAGCCTAACGAATGATCATAAAATACATATCTTTTTTTTACTTCTCTATAACATTCAAATAGTTCATTTAATAATTATATTAAATAGTTACGTTAACAGTTTATTCAGCAGTTACATTAGTTTCATCCAAAAAGTTGCAACATAAATGTACCTGAAACTTGTTTGTAGTATCTTGTTGCCACTGCGGCAATTTCTCCTGCTCTTCCCCATAGTATTTCTCAGCAGCAGCGACATGTGCTGCTAAACAGTGGGAATGAAAATAATGGTAGCATTCCGTCTTTGTGAATTCGTCTCCTTCCCGGAAACCGTATAAGCAGACAGCACACTGGTCAGTGGGAAGATTGCTCCTTGTCAAATGTTCTCGTACTAACTAAATCATTACCATTATTATATATATTATATTATTTAAACCAATACTATTATCTATTAATCAGATAGCTGATAAAAGAAGGAATGCCAATAGGATAATTCATTACCTCAATTAGTTCAAACATTACTGGTTGACCTATAAAGTCTTTACATTTGGCTTCTGCATCAGACTGCATTAACTTCACCGTGTTCTCATCCAAACCTCTTGGGTTTCGAAGATTGATGGCTGGTGAGACATCTGGATAGCCCAGAGGCAATCGTACTATCAGAGTTACACATACATATTGCGACTGCGAGTCTTCGCCCGTTGAGGGAAATAGTATTGTCTCTATATATTCTGGTTCCCCTCTGCGCAAACACATCAGGTAACAACATAGAAACAAAACTTGTTAATATTGCATGTGACCTGCCTAGCAATTACCTTTGCAAGTAACCTGGGTACATCTTTGCAAGCAAATTATAATTGAATTTTATAAATCACGTGAGATTAGAATCTATTTTAAGATCTATGCATTTTTAAAAACTTTAGAATATAAATAGTACACGAACAAAATACTTATTAGTAAGAATTTGTATAATTTAAAATTTTAATATTAAAAGTCTCTATGATACATAATAATCATTGTAATTTATAGACATCTTGCTTCAAAATTATCATGAAATAAAAATATAAGCCTTTGACATATACCTGTCATTCTCCTTGATGTTTAGCTCATTGTCCAGCAGAATTGCTTTTAATGCCTCAATCTCATCAGTTACCCTGTAAAAATAATCACAAGTATTAGAATAATCATGATACATAATATTATATATACATATACATAGATACATATATATTATGTAAATTGTATATGTGTAGTGTGTATATATATAATTCTTATTTTGGGAGTGGCCAAAACAACAAATCTTAAAACAAACTTGTTCCTTTACAAAATTATATGTAGTTTAAATTATCATTAAATTTTAAGATTTAACAAAAGCACATATGATCATCCATATGCATACTACATACATATGTATATACTTCCACCTAGGCTAATGAAACAAGTTGACAGATACACCTGCTCTTTTGAGTTTCTAATTCACCATACACAGACTTTTTATTGAGCAATACCATCCAAAGAAAATATACACAAAATAATTATGAGAAAAAAATAAAAACAAGAACAAAATAATTATTAATGACAAGCTTATAGGTACAGATATATGTTGCAGACTGACAAAAGTGTAGGTATTATTGTCAAAATTGCTGGGATTTGCGTCTTGGACGTAGGTGAGAGATGAAAGCGTCGTGTCAATCGGTGATTTGCGTGAATATTTCCAGGGAGGCCGTGACTTCGCACGACTAGAGTGCAGCGTCGCGAATTTTGGGGAACTACAACGTCCCAGCTATCAATACCGATACGCTAATTATTGAGAACTGTACGAATTACCGTTCGTCCACCATCGCATCCGACATCGTGTCCCTCGTCGGTCAATAATCGTCAATAAGCTACGTCCCGCTTGCCACAGAATCAAGGCGATTCCTCCGCACTCACGAATAACACCGCTCTCGCGCACTTCGACGACGGCCGCGAGAGCGTCAAATGCGCGTCAATATTGAAATCCTTCTGCTAGCACAGTCGACACCGAGCAGCTCCGATTGGCACCTATCACTACGCCTGTTCACCAATCGCCGTTCAACGAGTGGGCAGCGGCGGTTCTTCCATTGGTCGATCGTCATGTTTGTCCGGCGACTCGATTGACCGACCTAACCTAATCCAATGTACTGTTAACCTATCGCGTGCTGCACTGCGTTGCACTTTCAGGTGTTGTGTATGGAAGATTTTTCGCGCCAAATATAAAATAAGTGTAGCCAGATTGTAAAAAAGTAATGTTATTTATTTATAAGTCCTTTTTTTTACACAGACAAATTGTATCTTAAAAGGTGCGAGTATTTTTAGACGTAACGATAAGCAGTAAGTCCTCCCGTCTTCCCTTCCATTTTTTTATGTTTACCCGTATGCCACCGACAGACATGCATATGGTTACGCTTCTTGTCCACTGTGACACCCTCGCCGTGGCGAAGACCGTCCACGAAGTCGCCTTCATACCAACGATCGTCGTCCCACTCCAAAAGACCTTTTCCTTGAATCTGATTTTGCTCGAATTGACCCTGCACGGTAACTCAATCGTTTTATCCTAATTCCAAGTTTATGATGTACCAATTTGTACCAGCCTAAGTAGCAATGTAACTTTAGACGTCATCTTACTATCTGGGAGTTGATTGCGTATCATATGCTAATTTAGATCATTTTACATGAATATACACACACACATTGATTTTTGTAAGATATAAGATTATTTCCCTGAATTGTGTACACATATTTATCGAACCTTGTATTGAACACCGTCATGCCACTTGTACGTTCCTTCACCCTCCATCATTTTTCTACTGATGCGACCAGAGTAAGAATTGTTATTATAAAAACTGATGTCGGCAAATTCATCGGGCAATGACAACTTCCAGGATAGTACGTGAGCCTCTTCCTTTCCTTCCTTGATGAGCGAGACATCATTAACGTAAGGCTCGTGTATCTCCTCATCTTCACCGACATTGACATCGTCGATTTCAACGTCACTCTTATGCATCGTGGATGGCTTCTTTCGCAGAAAATAACCTTCCCATCTGTACCGATCAAATTGGACTAATGGTATAATAATAATTGTTTTGTATTACATAAAATAGCTCGATTACTTGGTAACAAACGCTGGAAGTATGTCATTGTACAACAGATAGATGAAATCTTCTTTAGCAGTGTATTTGCGGCGTTTTTCAGCCAATATTTCTTCAAATGGCAGTTCCTCCTTCGTAATCCCGTTATCTTTCGACGAGGATGTGTCTACGTCTCGTATGTCTTCTTCCTGACATATATCATCTGCCTCTTCATAGCAGGGAACTATGCACTCTGCTCTTCTCCTACATTTGCAGAGAATTTCTCTTTGTAGCTCTTTTATGTCTGATTCTTTGATCTTGCACCCCATGTTGTCAGAACAGAATTTTCCACTTCTCTGACAACGGTGTGAACTTTGTTTTATCACTAATAATACGACGCTATGTTCACGTAATAATATTAGAAAATGACACGAAAGAAAGCAACTCTTGGAGTCATTAGATTGTGAATTTTGAATGCAGGAATTATTTGACCGAATTGTATCAGTCTTCTCTCTCTCTCTCTCTCTCTCTCTTTGACCCACTTTTAATCTTTTTAAAGCAAATACGTACATACAACAGAAATTAAAAGATGCCAAGGAAAAACAAGATAAACGTAAGATAAATGTAATGTAAGAAACTCATCAATATTCGATGTTTAATTCCTATACAAATGTTCATTATAGCCTATCTTTCCGAGTCATGATAACAGAGACGAAGATCTCGAATCTATTGTATTTCATGTCCCAGCAATATATGGCGATAAAGTCAAGATCCACGACTGGTAAATATTGAGTTGATTTTTTATTTATTAGAGTGCAGTGACAGTGAAAATATATACATCGCTATATTGTATATAGATTTTGTACATTAGAACGTGGGAGGAGTAATCGCCACAGGTGAAACGTGCTTGTTAGTCGTAGCAACGCATTTTACTTTATACACTCGATAAGAACGTTGCGTTATTTTGTATTCTACACGTTATTCAACACGATATAAGCGTTTGTAAAATTGTAGTCGAAGTAGTTAGCGCGATATTACTTAGAGAAAAATGTCTCTACAAGAGGAAGAGGAACTAAAGGAGTGAGTTTATCATAAAAAATTAACATTTATTGTAAAGTATGAAAGAGAGAGAGAGGTTTATTAGTTTATTACTTTATTAGTTAGCTAAGCACTTAGATTCTTTGTGTGCGCGTCAGTTAACAAATAGAAATATATTACGCTAATTGGTTAGTGTTTGAAACCCTTATAGAAATATCATACTAAGAATCATTGATAATTACTTATTATCCAGTATTTTTAATACTGAAAATAAGTAATTATCAATTATTCTTAGTATGATATTTCTATAAGGGAACTGTATGCGCGTACGTATAAATGTTATTTCTTAATTCCTGGGAGAAAATGATTATATATAATTATATATAAATTATAAATGAATTGTGTTTATATATACAATCACATGTATAATCATATACGTCTCCATACGGAAAAAATGATTTTAAATGAAGAAGAAAACAGTTTTATTCAATTAAACGTCGACATTATGTGCTGCCAGAAATATAAGCATTTATTTCAATTATATTTGTGTAACAGTATTTTTTCTTGTCGTGGACACATGATTATGCGTGATTATACGTGTGGTCATATATGGACGAAATTCATACATAATCTTTTTCTCGGGTTATTATACCATTCAAATAAATCTACAGGCAGATGAAAACTTTGGCGGAGCCCAGAGACAACAAGGACATATTTCCACCGAAAGGAAACCTTCACGAATCGTCATATCGAAGAATAGGAGCCGACGACGAAGGCACTGGAGTCTCGGAGACACAAACCATGTTATCGCAGATCGAAATGCGAGACGAATACAAACCAATTATTTATCCACGACGCAGCCTGCTCACGATGCAATCGCTCGCTTCGGCCCAGTACGTATCTCTCTTGAAGATATTATATTAATAGGACAGAATTATAGTAATTATAGTAATTTACTAATACTTAAAATAATAATATTGATAAATAAAATAAAACGTCGATAACGTAATAAAAACCTCGTTTCAGGAAAGATTACGAGGAGAAAGAGTTACAACTGGAGGACCTACTCGTAGATACCATGGCAATTCGTTATATGGACTATCGCACCACCATGGATAGCGACTATCGGTCGCCTTATCCTCCGAGACCGATATCGCCGCCGCCGCCATCACCGCCTCCGGAACCATGGTTGTTAAACCGACGCACCGTCGGTTACAGTCTTCATGCTTTGGAGAATCGTCGCGGCTACCACACGTTCTTGGACGACGACATGGATCTCCATCGAAGAATAGCAGAGTTGAAAATGAAAAGGGGCAAACTATATGAGGTAATCATAAAGGATAAAGAGCAACAAAGCTCCGTTTAGCAGTTGATAAATGTTTGTTAAAACATCCTGGAGAAATTGGAGTCAATAAGAAAGCATATGTGAACATGACATATAATTTTTTTCTCTCTTTATTCGTGAAAATAAGAAAAAATATAGTCGAGGACGAACAAAATATTGTTTCGAAGCTGCGGATTATTTAGTGGCGTGATCGGAATCAAACGCGAGAGAACTGGAGGAGGTGAAGAATAACGAGACACAGTCGTATCATGGCTGCAATGTAAAATATATTCTATCTACATCTCGCACGAACGCGGTGAACTACGCCAGCGCGAGCGAAACGCGAATGGCGCGATCACGTCTACGATCTAGGTGAATCCGGCGGTGGTTTTTCACTCGGTATTTCTGCTGAATCGCGAGCGTCCGTACTCGTCGTCGTCGTTGGTTCGCTTGCCGAATCTCATGTGATCGTAATCGCCTAAGTGCTGGCGTTTACTCAGCCGCAGACCGTCTTCATCCTCGCCGATGAGGTCCTCCACGAGGTCCCTCATGAGACCTTCCACGGCGTATCTACGAAAAATCATGCGCGATAACAAGGTACAGTAAAACACCCGAATTCTCGGCGCCAGTATCTTATTTTACTTCTGAATTTTTCAACTGTTGTTACGAAATGATCTGTTGTGTATATTGAAGAATTTATGAAATGTAATATTTGTAGTGTTACCCGCGGATATGTGGATGATTCTCCAGATTGCGATGGACGTTGGCGATTAACCCCCCCGGAGCTGCTTTACATCTTCCACAGAGCAATGACATGACCGTGATCATGCAGGCCAACACGAGGGTTAAATTCATCTCTGCAACCATAAAAATGCAGCAAATATTGACAAAGACCGTTACGAGTTGAGTTACTGGCTAACGGCTTTTTACAATTGATTACTTCTAATTAGCTTGCTCAATTTAATCGGAAGACCCGCTTTTCGTAAATATTCTAAGCAGATGTAAATACGTGAACTTATTTTGCCCTCATTAACGGAAACTATACATTTTCACTGGAAATTTCCAAAACGCGGAATGACGACTGACATAACAAAGGATCGGTCTTGGTAACCGCGTTCAACGACGAGTTGGGATAATTATTTGTCGCGAACGGTTACTTATGAGATATCGTTCTGGCGGAATGTGAATGGCGAAACGCATTCGTTTACAAGATCTACCGAAGACTGCGGATCGATGAAATTATTCGCGGACGCCCGAGGAAACAGTGAACTTGAGGAGACACTTGATACTTCCGAGGAGACATCGTTTGTTCGACGCACTTACCTACGCGTGCTGGAATCGACGGTGGTGAAGTGTACGATGTGCATGGTCTGCACGTGGCTTTTTATACGCGGCCGCCTTCGTTCAACCCCCAGGAGCAGCTGAGGCTGAAATCGCGGGTGGGGCGTTGAATTTTAATTCGCCCACAACCACCACTACGCAGTGATAAACAATTTTCTTCTTTCGCTGCAAAAACGCCTTCGCCGGTCGCTCAATATTCCACGATGCTGCCGCCGATGATTGGCAGCCAGCCGGCTAAACGCATTACCGATGTCACGTCCCGGCTCTTCTGTTTCCTTTCCGAGCAGCAGAGTAAAATCAGACGTTAAAATCTTCTGGCGGAAAGAGCAGCGCGCCGCGAATAGGTTTATAAATTACGACGGGCGCGCGAACGTGTCCGTCTGTTAACTACTTTTATGCCAAGTTTTGCGTATTTATAGTACACCCCTCTCTTTATTGTTCGATAAAAGAGTTATCACGTCAGCGGAAAGTAACCGACGTTTACCGCGATTGGTAATTGTCTAATTGCCATGTACGTTGACGAATAACAACTTCAATTTGTTTTAGTTAGTTTGTTTTATTTAGTTCGTGAATATTGAGTAGCCAGTGAAAGAGGAAAAGAGACATATCCGCTAACTCGTTAAAAACGTATCGCACCTTCACGTGAGGTCATGGCCACGGATTCGCACGATCACCAATGGCTTCCGCGTTTGTGAAGCTTCCTGACAATCCTATAAATCAGCCCAGGTTTACTCTTCGGAGCCGAGTCGCTCTTTCAGTCGTAGAAACTACACCTATCTGTACGGAATACAGAACGCAGTCGCGTTTTCACGGGCGATCCTGTAACTCTCGTTCGTCAGGATGGCTGCCGTAGCAGAGGGCAGAGAAACGGTGGTTCAAAAGGGTTTGTCGGAGTGGTGGGGCGAGGAGACAGAGTACGTATTGCAGAGGATCGAGCGTTGGGCGGCTTTCGCCCGCGGTTACAATCGTCTACGATCGCAGAGGTGGTCCAAGGATCGGCAACAGGCGCACGAACATTATCAGGACTCTTCGTGGAACGTGTTGACCCGGAAATCGAGCATCGACGAAACGACCTGTCCGTCGCGGTTCCACAATCTCGAGCGATCTCGACGGAAAGCGCAGCCGGAGGAGACCAAGATCAACTGCTGCGGCACTTTCAACTATCAGTCGAACAGCGAGCTGGACAGCAACTGCTTGGAGACGTACCGGTACGACCATAGCATCTACTTCAAGACCATCGGTGACATCAGGAACGACAGGAGGGACGTCGGGAACTGCGACGTGGACAGAGTGTCCATCAGCAGCGAGGAATTAGTGGAGTGGGATGCCAGCTCTCTCACCGACCTCTTAGCCGACAAACCGATCGCCGAGGAAACTTACAACAACAATTATCTAGACAATAGCACCGTTCCCGAAACCGTTCTCGAGATGAAAACGATCCGGACAACGCAGAACGTTTGGCCGATCGTGGATCTGACTAAACTTAATATGAATTTGACGGACTCTGATGAATCGCGACTGCCCCGTTCGATTAATCAGAATGATCGACGAAGATACGAAGAACAACAGGAGAACAACAATGTAGAGACTCCGAAAGTGGAGCACGCGGATTCTAAGACGTGGAGGAATAAGGAGGATCGGAAGGACGAGGTTCCAAAGATCTTGAGAGAATGAAAAGATTTCGAATGTTCTGGAAGACAGGCCGATCGTTGACGAAAACAATATCGTGTAGTCGAAGACCTTCTAAATTACACTAACAAATTCGACGAAAAATAAAGTCGAAAATAAAGTCGCTAACATTCACATGTTAGCGTTTGAACTTGTTTTTAATATCAACTCGACAGAACGGCGATTTTTGTTCGGCAATATAATAACTTCATATATATGTTTAATATGCGACAGTTTTGTTTGTATCTTATTCGCTTATTAATTCAAGCGCAAGAAAAACATCAAGAGTACACATGTCGAAAACGGGCATCTCGTTTTTTTTACTTATTTTTCTGTTTCTGTTGTTGTCCTTTTTGCAAAACGAAACAGGTGCAGTGCTGAACTTTCTCCCCGTTTTTGCCGCGCTACTGCTTCAGCACCGAAAAAGACATCGTAGAAAACATTGATCATATTATAGCCATTCGATCCTCCTTCGATCCTGCAAATTCTCCAAGGAAAACCGCCAAGGAAGGTCTCGGGGATCCTTCGAACGCCTCCGTCTGATATCTCTGCATCATACGCGACACGACGCTCGCTCGTCTATAGAGAATTACTCTAATAAAGGGAGTTCCCACTATCGCACTATAGTGCTTCGGGGTAGCGCGCATGCACCAGTTGGAGGGGCAAGAGCCACGCACGCAACACGTAAGTATTACTCGCAATCCTGTTGCAAATCGATCGCGTCGCCAAAGTGAGACCCGCTAGTGCGTAATATCATTGCAGAGCCCGACCAGAGGGTGCCCATCATTTTATCAGTGAGCGAAGCTAGGCGTTCGAAGCAGATAGCCAAGATGAGCAAGCGACTGGAGACCGTCGCCACGATGACCTGCATGAAAACCTTACTGATGCTCTTCAACTTCATCTTCTGGGTAAGCGCGAGGACACGACGCAAAGTTACCCATGAAACTCCTCAATTCACCCTGGGCCGAGTATCAGCCAACTGTTGCGCAATTGCTCGTAAAGTCGTAGTCATCGAATGTACTTGAATTTAGTGAACGATGCACGCGATAATAGCGTCACGATAAAATCCTGTCTTGAGCTTATTAATCGTAATTAGGTCAGTTAATTGGCAAATGGCATAGGTGGTAATTGCGTATCGACTCTTGACATTGAATACGAGGTTCACCAAGACGACGATCATTCATCAGAAGTATCTTCTGACTTGTTCGAGCCTAAAAAATTATAAATTGATTACAATTTCACGCGCTGTGTATATCCAAAGTCGTTTTTCCTTGAACTCTCGAATCAGTTCAAAATTTTCGAGCGCGTTCATTAAGACTTATCTGCAAGCGACTATACGTGCACGCGTGTGCATATCATTTCCAACACACCAGCGACCATAGCTTTTGTTTGATGTAAATGCAAGCGTGAACGTTATCAACGAGAAGTGGCCGTTATTAATAAATAATTCATATACATATTAGCTTCCCTACGATCCCGATTTCATCCCTTAAATTATTTCTCGCATCCGCGAACGTTACGTTTAAATCTAAATAAAATTTATGCTTTCACAAGTAACATCGAAATCGTTCCATTATAGGCGTGCGGAGTGATAATACTGTGCGTCGGCATATGGATGCGCATCCAGTTGCGAAACTACGTGAACCTGAGCGCGGAGGGTAGCGGCGCGGCTCTCCTGGCACTCTCGAGCCTAGGCGCGGTGCTGGCACTCGCGGCGACGCTCGCGTGTTGCTGCACCGCGCGCGGCCACCCGGCTCTACTGTATCTGGTAGGTATTTGACCGTCGGAGCAAAACGTAGTTCTGTAATTAGGGTAGTCGAGCTGTGGGTCTAACGATTTTTCTATATCTCTAAGTAGAAAAGCGCGTGTCCAAAAATCTCTGAGCTCGCACGAACGACTCCGTTTTTTCTCATCGTAGTTTTACGAAGTTTCTCCTTGGTTTTCGCGAGAAATAACTGTTTCTGTTTGTTGACAGTACGGTGCGTTCTTAGCCGTCGTGGCATTGCTGGAGCTTGGTGCGGGCGCATCGATTTACGCTTATCGTACGACTCTGAACGAAGGATTCGATCAAACTCTGAACGAAAGCATGGCAGCCTACGGACAGGATCGCTCCAAGAGCAACCATATCGACACTATGCAGTCGACCGTGAGTGTCTTGATAATGCTCCGTTTGTATATTTTCGTTCAATGGCTTCGATAGAATGTTGGTCTGAAATATTTCATTAACTATAATTAAGATATATCAATCCTCTCTTGTGAAAATCTCGCAGTAAAGGTGTGTCTTTAACAAAGTCAATGAACAATTGCAGTTGGATTGTTGCGGTAATCGCGGGTACGCTGATTGGCTTCATATGCATCCAGCACAGAAGATTCCTATGTCTTGCTGCAAAGTGCCTGATAAATGCGATCCAACTAAGTTCGATCAAATCTATACTGAGGTATGTATTGGTAAATCTTAACGACCTTAGCGTCAGGAGAAAAATAAACTCATCGATTCGATTTTCAATTTCTTGCGGGTCTGACCGAATTAAGAGGAGACGAATCCTTTGACACTGATTGTAAGGCAAAGACACTAAGAGGGAACATTCTCTTCAGGGATGTTATAATCGCGTGTTGGACTTATTGAACGCCCACATTGGTCTGGTAGCCAGCATGGCGATCGGCGCGGCCTTTTTCCCGCTGGTGGGCGTCTTCTTGTCTTGTTGCTTGGCCAGCAACATCAACAAGGCTGAGTATGAGCAGGTTGCTTAGGCTTGGTCCTCGCGCAAGCAGCAACGGCAGTCTTATCAGAAAAGAAAACGTCGCTAGCGACAACCTGCAAATATATACGAATTTAACGGAAAATAATCGAGGCAGCCGGCCATTTTGCCACTTGAATTTTCATTAAAGGCCTCAATGGTGAAATCTCGTAAAGCGCATCATGATTAAAACGGACTTTACGAATTATAGATTTGGGTCCCTCCCGCGTTGATTCCTTCGATCTTCACTTAAACATTCGTGATTAATCAAAATTTACACTCGTATTTTAGTCCTTTCGAACAAAACTGGTTTAAGTTAATAATTTTTTTTTTTATATATATTTACTTGATACTCGTTACAGATTACAATTCTTTGGTGCGCTTTGATCTCATATGAGAATATGTTTGAATGTATTTTAAATGACATTTAAAGATAATACTAGTCTTGATCTCACGGGATCCGCGATATTTCGACAGAATTGCGGAAAATGTGAAATTGCGAGCACAGCTCTCGTTTAAAAACTACTAAAAAAAAAAAAAGAAATCCGAAGGTGATGAAGAAGTATATTTCACAGTTCATAAAAAATTTTTGAAAAATTAGTAAGCATAGCTATTTCGATTACTAGATGGAATTGAATAATGACGACGTATTTCCTTGCACAAAAGGGTCAAACCATGTTGCAAAACGCGAAGGTACAACTGGCAATCTTATGAACCGTTAGTAACGTGATTGCTACTACTTTCGGAAGAAGCGTTTAATCGCGTCTACTATTGTACACCGAACTGAACGAAACTCGATCGCAATATCGGGTTTTAAAACTCTGCAAAAGTCAAACGATCAAGCATCACGGAAGTAGAATGGCTAGAAATATACAACTGTATCGATAGTACGGTTTGTTATTTCGATCGAATCGTAACATGTAGGATTCGCCGTAGAGCGACAAGTTTATTTAACAAATGCCTATTTTTATGGCGACATGATGATATATGCAAAGATAGAATGTATACTGCTATATTTTCAAGTGTCCTACGAATCTCTCTTGGGACTTGTAAGTAACTTCTTCCACGCGAATCTTAGTCTCTTCACGAGCCTTTGAAATTCCTGATCCTCCATTCTTCTTAGATCTTCCACGCATCCTTCTGCGATTCCCAAGTTCTTGCATACGTATTCATATTCCACGGGCTTTAACGAGCCATGTACATTCTGTGCATGACTTTATGTAACGTCTTGTCTTTAAATACCTAATCACACTTTACCGCGCATTCTGTGTGAAATGCGGCGGTATTTCTTGTGTCACGTACGTTGGAATCTAGAATCTATATCGGATAAACGAGAAACTTACATATAGACAACAATAACATTCTAGAGAAACATACACAGTGAAAATAAAACTCTGTTTCAAGTTATTATCGAGGAAAGCTAATGAAGCAAATTGTTATCGCATAACACACGGCAAAGCAAGATATTTGCATGCATTCGTTAACTTTGATCTCAGAATCAATTTAAACTCGCGACTTTAGCAGTTCTTTGCATTCAGTTTAAGTCTCTTCATTCTTTACCACGTTTTCCTAGACTTCTTTCTACAATGTTTCATAGATTTCTGTATAGCCTAGAATATTTTCTACCAACTCGCGCTTCTCCCTTTGTTTATCAGTCATGTCGACAGCCGCCGAGACGCAACGCATGTGCAACGTCTTTATCGAACAAAACAAAATGAAAGTTTACGTTTATCTTGAGACCGCCGACGATTGCGCGCACAAACGTGTGGAATTTACTTCTTGTTTCGTGACGTATCGTAATTCATCACGATCGCTCGTCATATGTCGTAACAGCGGAATTTAACCAGACTAATCGGTACATCGCGAGATGTAACAAAATTCTTACTGTATATACATTTAAGTTCTTTTTCGAAAACATACATTTTTGAAATAATATATAAATTATCGCAATATACCGTTAAATATTCCATTATCGCCATGTTTTCCCGTATAATCTTTATCGAAGTTGATATTTGTATAACACAGTTGCTCTGTTACACTGTGGCTCCATATTATATTACATATAAGTTTTGCATGTAAGATACAAAAAATACCTTATGGAATATATTTATTATATACATATATATATATATATATATATATATATATATATATATATATACAAATCTATATATTCATGTACAGAATGAGACACTTAACTCGTTTGTTTCCGCGAATTTTTCAATTTAACATCTTTCTAACATCTTAAGAAGAAATACTAGAGATTTCTGACAAAAAGTGTTTAACTTTAAAAAAATCAGATAATGATAAGAACGGTTCTATTTTGTTATTTTGCATCGTGGTAATAACAAAGCGATCTTTATCATATATATCATGTATAAGGCTGATGACCATAAAAGTATCTTTTGTGACGATTAACATTAGCACAAATGCCAAATAAAAAGGGGATTAAACGATGACGGACGAGTTAAGTGGTCGATTTGGCGTTATAATATTATAATATTATGAAAAATATTACATTAAAACTCTATTACATTATACTTCATCGTGTTATGTGGACTTAATCCATTGATGGTATGTAAAACAGAAGTCTAATGGAAGTCTCATTTACAGATATTCCCGAAATTATAATATTACTTATCCCGCAATATCGTAAATACTGTGCAAACCACCGTGTATTAAATCGATATTGAATTATTGATGTCACGGCTTTATGTACTGTCTATCGTGGAACGCATACACTCTGTACGCGTCCTGAGCCTTAAATAAACGTCAATAAGATCAAGATGAAACAAAATACCATCGATCAAATAAAAAATATAAAAGGTTGAATGAAAAATTTTTGTCTTTATTTACGTTTCTTTATTAACATCTTTATATTTCATTTTGAACACGTGTACATATATTTTGTATATTAATCTATAAATTTTATTATGTTCACATATATTATATCAGGCGATAAGAGTATAATACATTATTATCAGGCGATAAGAATAAATTTTCCTTTATAATACTTAAATATTCAGTAATTAATATAGATAAAATGTTGGTGTTAGTATTATGTTGGTTTGATTAGAATTCTGGCTGTTTCAAAATTAGTCGCTGAAAGTCTATAATACGTGACATAAACTATAGCTTTTTAGCGCTAGCAGTGAATATTGGAACACTGTCTCTGTAACAGTGTCTCTGTCTCCGTAGTGTCCACATTAAACTCATATTATGTCGATAGAGCCTATTGACGCATAACTTGACAGCAGAAATCGGATCTGTATATACTATAATTTTCATTCAAATATATATAAATGATTACTGAATGACAGATCTTGCTCAATTTTTGCCGTCAATCTGCCATCATAGCCTGCAAGGAGATCTTGTATTTTTGAGACAAAGCTACCGATAAAATTTACAGCAGACACTGTGTAAAATCTGTTTCTGCAGCAAATAAGACATTTAGAAATTTTTTGTCCGCATATTAATGTTATGAAAAATACTACCTCAGTCAGATTAAATTTTGTGATTGGCTCCTATCGGCCTTAAAAATATAATGATAGTATGTTTTTGCAGGTTTGGTTATCTAGAATAATGCTTATGTGTGTGATAACAAGAGAACGTGCCAAAAACCGCCTGATAATAGGTCAAATTCATTATTTTATCGCAACTGAAATATTTCGTTACTCTGTAATAAAGCACAACAAACATGGTCTCAAAACATATCATACAGATATTCATATGTTTCAGAATATATCACTGTACATACATATATCACAAGAATCAGCTGGTCATTTAAATATAGCAGCAGTCTTTTGTTTGCGCTGTTCATATTGAAATTCTGTACCACAAATGATACAAATATTAATTAGACATAAAGTATAAAACAATACTCATTTATCTTTTTTACACAGAAACTACGATTTATTTTTTAAATATAATTTAGATATAAAAAAAGAGCTATAGAGATTTGTGACATACTTAAGTAATGGAAGGCAAATTATCATCTACCACTACGCTACGTCGCGGAGAACATAAAGAGCAGATGTAAAGCGTATGCTCTCCGCAAATCGGCTGAAAGCAAATCACACACTTTATAGACGTTTTCCGATTCTTTCTTTTGGGACAATAAAAACACTTTGGTCTGCTTCGTACATTATCCATGTCCGTTTGCCCCGTCTTAGAAACGCTCATTGCCTCGTGTATTTCTTTGGGAAGCGTTTGAGTGCAGGCACGAATCTCCATCAGAGGCCTCAACAATTCTTTCGCTATGTACTGTATAAACTCTTGTCGCGGCATGATATTGCGCGTATTACTGTAAAAGATAATTTGGCTGTTTATGATGGCTACGTCCAACATGCTGAAGAACAATGTCAATTGCCAGCGACAATTGATCCTGGAAACGTTGTAGTCCGCCTTGAGGCGCTCTACTACATCCACCGCGTCTTTCGTGCGATTGTAGAATGTGAGAATCTCCGGTTTGTGTTGCTCATTGTTCTGGAAACTGCACGTATTGTGTTTCGACGAAAGCAGTATCACGTTTTTTTTTTCTTGCGGCACGTATGACACTAACACCGAGTTTTCTCGGAAGCCGACCAAGCTGCTAAAGACGGGTCTGCTTTCCGTGTTGGAGAATTCGAGTGGGACCTCCTGATTGTTTTTACGTAGCATCGCCACGACAGTCGTATTACACTTCAATAGATCGTCGACTAACGACAAGGAACTGAAACGGCTGTCCATAGTGATATTGCGACCGCTGTTCGCTATCGGCTGTATCAGTCTCTTCACTATATGCTCCGGCTTGTTGCTGACGCGAAACGGTCCGACGGGTTGATTGCCCGCGTAGATCTCCATTTTAGCCGTGTAAAAGGTGCTGCAGTCGCACAAGGCATATATCTTGAGGCCATGTTTACTAAGTTTGTTAGGTGCGTACTGCTTGAAAATACATTTGCCTTTGAACGCTTCTACCATCTCACTTATCACGCCGCATTCGCCGATGTTAAACATGTTGAAGCACCTATTATTGAAGTTCTCAAAGATCTCGCGGATAGCCGCCAGATTGTCGTACTTTCGTCGTTCAGCGTGTGTTTGTGCATTGTCAAACCTCAGAGCTTTCATTAGCACGTTAAATCGCTTGTACGACATCGCCAATCGAAAATATTCGGCATCAGGTCCGCTGATTTCCCACAAACTTTTGGCATTCAGATGCGAGCTCTTCAACGAACCTATAACGAGATAAATTTCAAATGCGGTACTTTGCACGTTTCGGAGCATTTTATAAGTCTGCTAAAGTGACTAGAAATATTCTTTCATATATATTTTTTTACGTGAAAATGATATGTAAGAATTTTGGACATATGTTTTTCTCATTTCTGACACATGACAAGTCTAGAGTTAACGTTACGAGAAATATGAAGTATAAACATCTTTGAAATTACTTTTTATCTTTGAGATTTGGAGATCAAGAAAGCCTTCGGTTTCCCGTTAAACAACGAGAAATCAAAAGATAGTATATCTATTCTCTTAACTATTCTCCTTCCGACGTCTCTTTGCCTGTATATACTTACCGCCCAAATACAATAAACCTAGTAACGCCTTGATCTCGATCAAGTTGGTTGAGATATAATCTCTATCCCGCGAATATTTCTCTCTTTTCCTACACAGTTCAACGTTCGTGTGTTTAACGATTTCTTTGAGTGTTTGTTCCGGGAAAAATAAATCCCAGCAACCAAATAGTTGCCTACGATTTTTAGCGGCGTGTTTCGTACCAGCCTGTGCGACCATAATATTGTCGTTGACGCGTTCGATATTTGGAGGAGCATTCTGATACCATTTGGTGATCTTGTCTTTCCCCAAGTAAAATACGTCATTCTTCGCGTTTCCTATCACCGACTCGTCCTCAAGATTGACGCTATGTTTTGATAATTCTGACTCGGAGAAGTCCTCGTCCTCAGAAATAACGAGATATCCTCCTAAATGAGCTCCTTCACCATAACACCATGGCACTGATATTCCATAATATTCAAGTGGTATCTTTAGGCGCTGTGAAGTCGCAAGAAAGGAAAACTACTTTATTCTGGAATACGCCAACAGATACAAACTTGTATTATATTTTACCTTTTTAATTGAGATGCGCTTCCTTTCTTGTTCCTCTTCACTGTTCATATCTTGCGACGATTCCTCTGATTCTTTTGTACAGAACATTGAGCTGTCCTTATAATAGACCATTTCCTCATCCTCTGTTAATTCCGTGGGACACAGCATATCCATTATCCTGCGCCAAATCTCTCTGCCTATGAGTTGAGACCGTGTAGAGATAGTTTCACGGCTGTTCTGTAGATCTAGGATAACCTGTGCTTCTTTCAACAGATCTATGCAATATTTCATTGCATCAGTTAGCTCTTGCTTTCTGTCACCTGATTCACAAGCCAGCAGGGCATTCTCAGCCTTGAGTTCATCAAAATGGATCGATGAGTGATCCAAGGAGACCTCCTCTCTTACAGCGACGAATTCCAGTGGATCTATCATTGCTTTTACAATAAAGGCTTGGATTTACAGTATGTTTACCATACTCCCCATTCTTTTTACTCTCTCTGACTATGTATTTGTTGACAACTAACTTAAGCAAGACATAGTTATCTGCCACTCTAACAATAACAACATGGTTAGGTAAACAAATAGGTTGGATACCTAGTTGATTATCGATTTGTAGCAAATTATAACCGGTGAATTGTTATTATTAATGTTAAAACGTCGCGTACCTTTTTATACTACGACGTATATTTATAATATATATAAGTGGCATGTACAGTCTCAACTTTACTCCTAATCTTAAAAAATAATATCGCTTTAACGACTCATTGTTTTTTGCAATATCGAGTGATGATTTTATGTATAATTATTATTCTTAATAATTGTTTTATTTACCATGAAATATACAAATAACATCAAATTCCGTACAAATCGATGACCAATTAAATATTATACACAATATTTAATTTTTATCTTCACTTACTTTACGTTTAACATGTAAAAGAAACTGTGTATTCGCACGCACGTTACTGTCAAAAATTTTTCCGTAAACTATTACTAGCTTATTTTCTTCCTTCCTTCGTTCCTTCCGAATTGGTATACAGTAGAGATGCCCGATTCTGAATCGATTCGATTCTTTCCCCAAAAAGAAACTTATTCATGCTGTTTGCACTCTTCGCACTTTTCGTATTTAAAACTACACAGAAGTATATTGGAATGTTTCGAAGAAGCAAAAATGAGACATCCAACTCGATTGTTTCTTCCAAGCGTCTGATTAGGCGTCCATCTCTTTTTAAAAGCGAAAAGTATGAAACATGCATGCAACACGAACAACCCTTTTTCTCTAAATTTGTTAGGGAAAGAATCGAATCGATTAAGAATCAGACATCTCTAGTATACAGTCCTTTTATTCTGGACCTTTCACTATTTACAGTGGTTAGTGATTTAGGGGTTATTCACCCGAGAAATGCTTAAAATGATAGAACTTTTTTGTTTTCGAACTATACGCTCTGATTGATGTTTTTTAAGAAAATAAGAATGGATTTGAAAGGAAAAGTATAGGATTTGAAGGTTACCTCAATAATCTCATGTTGAGAACACTGGCTGCGTTTCAAAATTCACTGCCAGTACTGAAATTCTACAGTAAACGTGACATGAACTATACATTTTTAGTACTGGCAGTAAATTTCGGAACGCAGCCTCTGTATCCTGACATTGGGTGCTTTCCAATTGCTTAACACATCTTGATACATATGTACACAAAAATGCAAAAAGTGTAACGTTGTGCATGATTCAATTAGAACAAAGTGTACTAATGTGTATGTATGTCGGATAAAATTAGGATTATTTTTCAACTATGCTTATATTTTGGTATTTTTTAATAATAAATAATAAAATCTAAATAATAAAAAATTATTATCCACTTCAATTTGCAAATGCCAATCTCTTTTCAAGCCGCTACGCTTATTAACTTTAATTTTCACTAGAAAACACTAGTTTACACAGGTGACTAGTAGCCCTCGAACTGAGTACGGATATGTAATGTTGTGTCGACGATTACAATTGGAATGTAACTTGTGTCGCCGTGTGCATGAAAGTGTCTAGGGATATTGCAATTGGAAAGCACCCATTGTACAGTGATAGTGGGTGTTTACGTTAATTCGAGTACGAGTTAGTTCCACTAGGATCGAAAAATGTAACAGGCACAACCATCTAGTATCTTCATGGTTCAAGACAACTCAGTACTGCTTTCCGATGCTCGAGTAGAGTTAGTTAGAGTTAGCTAGAGTAGCATAGCGGATAACGTGAGCATCAGGTAGTTGATTTTCGAAAAATGTTAGTTATTAATAAGTTTAATCTCATATAGTATGTTTATACCGAACGTTTAATACGCGTACCAATTAGTAATTTTATGTTGAATTATTTTGATTTCGGCGATGTATATAAACAACGTTATATTGAAATAGTGCAATATTGATTAGAAACACGTATCGTATTAATTGAATATATTGCTCACATTATCCGCTATGCTATTCTAGCTAACTCTAACTAACTCTACTCGAGCATCGGAAAGCAGTACTGAGTTGTCTCGAACCATGAAGATACTAGATGGTTGTGCCTATTACATTTTTCGACCCTAATGGAATTAACTCGTACTCGATTTAAAGTAAGCACCCACTATCAGTTTCGGTTAGGCGACAGTTTTCCGAAAAGTAGAGGGGATAATGTTGGTACCAAGAGAAATCTCTACACGATATAATTTAAAGATCTGTTTTTTGTAACTGCACTGCTGAACTGGTGCAATAAATTGAAGTGAGGCAAGTATACGTTTTCTCATTCTAACCTTTTGCATTAGTTCAGCAGTGCGCAGTTACAAAGAACAGATCTTTAAATTATCGTGTAGAGATAATCCCCTCCAATATTATCCCCTCCATTTTTCGGAAAACTGTCGCCTAACCTCAGTTTCTCCGATTCCTGGTAAGCGGACAAAATCTATAAAAAAAGAGAGGACAGCGTTGACAACGTCCAAAAATTCCTAGGATCCATAAATTCATTTCTCAAGGTTAATATCATTGTCGGACGGGAGAGTGTACAGAGGTATAGAGTTGTGACAAGTTAAGGGACGTCTACATTGGAAGTAAGAAGTAAGAAGAATAAGAAATTGACCAATCATAGTTGATTATTCTTCTCACATTCGACTGTGGTTGGTCAATTTCTTACTCTTACTTCCTACTTCTTGCTATTTACTTTCAATGTAGATGTCCCTTTATATGTCATGGCCCCTGCACACAGGACGCGGTAATGCTTGCCGCGCGGCGGAAGTTCGTGCGACAGCTAATCAATATGCTGCTTTCCGTAATAACCTTCTAGCTCGTACAGAAAAACAACATATTGATTGGCTGTCGCGCGGACTTCCGCCACGCGACAAGCATTACTGCGTCCTGTGTGCAGGAGCCATAAGAGCTAGAAGGTTATTACAGAAACCAACATATTGATTGGCTGCCACGCGAATTTCTGCCGCGCGGCAAGGATTACCGCGTTCTGTGTGCAGGAGCCATTAGGCTGAATTTCCACTGAGCGCTTTACGCGCGCGTCATTTGCCTGCTTCATGAGTTAACCAATCAAGTCATTCCATTGAAACAAATGCGTCGTACGTCGCGCGCGCGTCATCCCAATTAGAGAATTTGATTGGTTAACTCGTGACGCAGGCAGACGACGCGACGCGTGACGCGCTCAGTGGGAATTTAACCTTGGATGCGTTCCCACTTAACGCGTCACGAGCGCGGCGTCCGTCGCGGACCAATCAAATTGTCCCATTTTATTGCTTAACTTTACGACGAATAAAATGGGACGATTTGATTGGTCCGCGAAGGACGACGCGACGCGTGACGCGCTAAGTGGGAACGCATTCTTAGTGGTGTGCAAACGAGACATTCCACTAAAATTTAGTTATTCGATTGGTTTGATTTCAATCTTCAATTGGTCAATCATGAATCTTTTCCTCTAGCGTGAATTCGTGAAAAGTGAAAATTTTCGAATGTAAAAGCATATAGAAATGTTCACATTATTACGAGTTTACGTTAAGGGAAAAGATTCATGATTGACGTTCCCCAATTCATTGTTTGATTTGGGTGTATAGAACAACATATCAGAATGCTTTGCTTACCGAGGACTTTCAAGGACGAACTTTTTTGCTTTTTCAGCAATAGGTCGGACTTTTCTCTAATCATTAAATTTGTATTAGAATAGTTTAAAAATTGTCGATAAAAAATTGGAGAAAAATTCACTGGAGAAATGTCAAAAATATGGATAGTAGGATATATCACGTGATCTCTACCAATCGAAGTTACGCTAGACGTTCATTCGTTATCCATGAAGCTTGTAAGGAAGACGTCAGAATTCTCTCTTCGCCCCAAAATACGGTCAAGATGAATATCTAGTTCACTGAAGAGCTTGCACACGCAAGTGTGCCGAAGAACTTATTAATCATGGGGTGAGTAACATTTCCTTTGTCTCGAAAGGTGCTCGTGTTTCGGGTATCTTAACTCGCGTGTGTTCTACAATGAATCTATAGCCATCTTGAATGAGTCATGATCGACATTCACTTTTTCGTAACAAAAGGATGCTTTTTTTCCTTTTCATATCATGAAATTTATTTTTTTTACTATCACACGTTGTTATGTTATGCGTCACGCAATATTCTCGTTCAAAACTCAGTATTCGCCTTAAACATTTCGCGCGATCTCAACAGATTATAAGTTATTGCGTCATAGTACGACATCACTCAAAATTCGTTTTGGACAATTTTCTAACATTTCTCTAGTAGCACATGTTGATTTCACATACGTTTTATATGCAGTGTTTCATAATCGTTTTTAAAATATTGCGAGAACTTTTTTTAAACAGTACATATGCTACCTGAAGTTCTATATTGAAAGCATATATTGTTACTCTATTATTTATACTGTTATTTGTACTGTTATTTATCATTACTCATGTTGAAGCAAGGCAGGACCGATTTTTCCAACTTATACGTTAACTACTAGTTAAATCATGTCTTTATTTGTCCTTCAAATTGGACAAAAATAGATATATGATTTAACTCTTAATTAACTTACCGAAAGGTTGGAAAATTGGATCATAATTATGCTTTCATCACGAAAACCTATCCAAACTTTGGATAGGCCTAACAAACTTTGTCTCAGTTTTGCGTGTCACTAGTGAACATTTTTTTTGTGCTATTGTGTAAACAAACTTGTTGAAAATCTTTGCACACAACAGTTTTATTAAGCAAACATAACAGTTCACAAAGATTAATTTTTATAAATGTTAAAGTGATTAGATTTCCTGAAAATTATTTGTGTATATATATATATATATATATATATATATATATATATATATATATATATATATATACAAAAATTATATTTTATTTATAGACATATGAAAAATAATTCAACAATAATGAAAACCTATTACATACAGTAGAAATATAAATTATTGCTAAAATAAAACTGTTGTTATTCTTACTTAAAATTAAAAAGGAATAAAACTACCATATTTGCCAGAGCTATAAATTTTCTTGAGAAGGTCTTTATTTTCTTTATCAGAAGCAAAAATCCTGTGAATTAAGATAAACTGAGGTGGTTTGGACAAATCAATGTCTTGTGATGCGATTCTGTAACTTTTATAGGCCTTCTACAATAAGACAGTTATAAGACAGTTATAAACCATAGACACATATAAGGTTGGTTCGAGTTACTTGTACTATTCACACTTTTACATCTAATGCTCGTTGCACACTAGTGCACCTCATACAACACAAATTTTCCAAAATACATTCTGAAGATGCTTTTAGGACGGAGGGATGTCATCAGAATATTTTTAGGGCGTCCTTTGAAGATGAGTTGTCTGAAAATAGCTAATATCTAATAAGTTTATTCGCATTAATTAAACTTTTTACACTTTCACACTTAGTGCATATTAATTCTTTAGAGGTTCTAAAAATGACGTCATGATTTCCGTTCGTTTTACGAGTGTAAATACAATTCTAATACACTTTTTACACTTGATTCCAAGCAAGAGTGAAAAGTGTATCAGAATTGCATTTACACTCGTAACACGAACGGAAAACATGACATCATTTTTAGAACCTATAAAGAATTAATATGCACTAAGTGTGAAAGTGTAAAAAGTTCAATTAATACGAATAAACTTATTGGATATTAGCTATTTT